AGCCAAGTGTTGTAATATCCAAACCATGTGGTGGAACAGCTTGGTGATGTAAATCCGGCTCAAGAGGGCTTTCTTGAGACCAGGAGTATAAATATTGCATGGACACTGGTTTGATTGGGCATAACCCGCGATTTACATCCGCTTAGAGTTGAGACACCGGTTCTGGGTGGTCCAGAATATAGTTTGGTGTAAGCTGGGAAACCTGGGAATAAAAAAAAAAAGATATGTTAAAGATGCGTCGACACGACACACGTGCCATTTTTTTTATGGCAAGGGCGGTGGGGGTGCTGGGGTTAGGGATCTTTGTCTTTCAATGTTTGAAACCAATAAAAAATTGACAACTAACATAAATTATGATAGTTTTAAGATTCTTGCTGGCCCATATAATATTCTGTATTTTTATAGCCCTTTTTCTTTCTCAGATTCTAATACCGCGTTAATGTACTTACAAAATTTCTTGATGTTGTGTTAGCATGTGACCACCCATCGGCCGTGCATGCTCTTGAATTATTCGTATTAATAAAAAACAAAAAAAATAGCCTGACCGGAGGAAAAGGGACTATTGTTAATTTATTTATTATTATTGTTATTCTTTTGAGGAGAGGGTGGGATTTGTCAATGTGAGCCTCATTAAAGAAATAAAAAAGAAAAAAACTAAAATATCTACCAATCATGCAACGAATTAGCCAATTTCACAATCATTATTTTCAATTTTTTTTCTATATAGTCATTTTCAATCACACATTCACATAATAAAAATGTTTGTACGTAAACTCAAAAATTTTAGACACTTTTTAACTACATATTGTCCTAAAAATTACTGTTCAAACTCTGTTTTCCTAATAATGTTTTTGAATAGACTAGTAGTAGTTTCAATAAGGGAAAATATATGGAAAAGTCGATTTTGAGGTCGTGTAAGAGGTGCAATGGAAAGGGGCGCATGATTATACTTATAGAGAACCCCCATCAATACATAATGGGCTATATATTTCAGTTTAGAGCTTGTTTGGGAGTGATTAAAATCAGATTAAAATTGAAAATATAGCCGTTATTGCTGACTTTTATTAGCCGAGTGAGACAAAATAACGACTATAATTTCAATTTTAATTGGATTTTA